AATGGCGAAAATAAGAACGAAATAGACTTTATAATGAGTGCACACCCAGGCATCGTGCAGGATGTGGAAGTGGTTGGCAAGGTACGATGCAGTGACCATAGAATGGTACGGTCTCTAATTCGCCTAGACTTGAGGAAGGAACGACAGAAACTGATACGCAAGAAGCCAATCAATGAGTTAGCACTGAGAGGGAAAGGAGAGGAATTCAGAGTCTCGCTTCAGAACAGGTACTCGGCTCTTAGTGAGGAAACCAACCTTAGCATAAATACAATAATGATAATTTGACGAGTATCATTACGGAGTGTGCAGTTGAAGTTGGAGGCAGGGTAGGTAGACGGGACACTGGCAAGCTTTCCCAGGAAACGAAGAATCTCATTAACTCTTTCCTTACAACGAGAAAATTGGCCTATTTTCGTATGTTGCAGCTAGGAATTTTCTGTGCCGTTGCTACTAGGTTTACAGTGCCATGCAATACATCAAAATAAAGAAGAATGAACGTACTTTTGAATGCTTTTTCTTTTGAAACAACAAAGGAAATTTATTTGGAGCAAAAAATTCGTATACAATAAAATTATAAAATTTTCAAGAATTTTTTTACAAGACAAAGCGATATCTCCGACGCAAAATTTTTCTGAGGAATTCTGAAATATACAAAATGTTTAGTAATCACAGGGCAACATTATTTAGAAGAATTGTTAAAATTGACGAAGCTGTTTTTGAGTTACAAAAAAATTGCCTGATGCATAGCGAAATAGTGAAGTTCTGAGTTGGTCTTACGGGAGATTTTTTTTTTCAAGAAAAAAAAATTTTCAGCAAAATATTACATACCAAAATGCAAGTACTAACTGTAGGGTTTGAAAGGTACATTTGACGAAAGAACTGGCAGATCTAAATAGGTAACAAAAATTGACAAACACAAATAATTAGGTTTGTTCACAACAAACGTCGTAATGATATACTTATATCTTCTGAGTAAAAAAAATTATGGAAAGTTATGAGAGATGCAAAATATTTAAAACAGCGTATTGGAGTAGGATTGAAAAAATGAAAGTTATAGCTCAAGAACTTCTCGAGCTATAAATTGTGCACTACTGCGGAGCGTCATGCCGAGGTCGATGCCCGGATCCCTCTGGGGTCGGAAGTCCACGTGTCTTTGTGCTGGAGGCAGCACATCGCGCCCAAATGAAGTAGACACGCTAGAAATAATAATATGTGGGACACATACAGGGCAAGTCGGCCAGCTCCAGAACACTATAAACAAAACAGAAGGTGAAAACCAAACTTACTCGCGACTAACAGCTGACGTTCCCGGCTGATCTGATAAAATTTCTTCATTGGAGCTGAAATCCGATGTCACCACATCGTTGTCCGATTTCTCACTGCTCGAGAAATCCAAAAGATCGCTCGTCGAGGGGTCGGCATCGAGCGAAATCTCTTTCTTCCGAGCGCGCGTGGTTTCGGATGTTGACGCCATCACGCGGATCACGTGCGTTTTAACCTTTGCATGGGCGCGCCCTTTAAAAATCACCGCCACGCGGTAAAAATGCAAACCGTACAGAAACAGAAATTCTAGTGTGTGTACAATCGCCTAGATAGCGCTGCAAGTCCTTACGCACGGTGTTTGTTGAAAAATAGGGGCGTGAAATCGTCGATCACCGGTGAACGATGCCTAGTGGCGTGGTAAGGAAAGAGTTAAGAAGCATCAAATCGTGAAAGTCTCAAGTACAACAGACAAAATAGAACTGGCAGAGCTTTCGAATCTGAATAATAGGCCTAAGGTATCCGATGTAAGAAGGTATAACATGGAGAGAATTGAACGCGCTCTGAAAAACGGAGGAAGCGTCAAAGCAGTGAAGAGGAAACTTGGGATAGCCAAAAATCGGATGTATGCACTAAGGGACAAAGAACGCAAAATAACTACCAATATGGATAGGATAGTTATAATAGCGGAGGAGTTTTACAGAGATCTGTACAGTAGCCGGGACAACCACGACTTTAATACTATAAGAACTAGCAGTAACCCAGATGACACCCCACCAGTAATGATAGGAGAAGTCAGAAAAGCTTTGGAGAGCATACAAAGAGGCAAAGCTGTTGGTGAGGATCAGGTAACATCAGATCTGCTGAAAGATGGAGGACAGATTGTGTTAGAAAAACTAGCCACCCTGTTTACGAAGTGTCTCCTCACGGGAAGAGTACCAGAGTCTTGGAAGAGCACTAACATCATCTTAATACATAAGAAAGGAGATGACAAGGACTTGAAGAATTACAGGTCGATTAGCTTGCTCTCTGTAATATAGAAGCTATTTACAAAGGTAATTGCTAACACAGTAAAGAAAACATTAGAATTCAATCAATGAAAGGAACAAGCAGGATTTCGAACAGGCTCCTCAACAATCAACCACATTCATACTATCAATCAGGTAATAGAGAAATGCTCAGAATATAACCAACCACTATACATAGCCTTCATAGATTTTGAATCATATTTATCTGATACTAAAGAAGAGTGGTCCCCATCATGACAGTCTATCTCTTTCTCCCAAATAACAGGCTGTTATGTCCAAGACATGGGAATAGGAATTCGAGCAGCTTATTCATTGATTGATTTGTGGGGTGTAACGTCCCAAAACCACTATTTGATTATGAGAGACTATGAGAGATGATTATGAGATTATGAGAGTGGAGGGCTCCAAAAATTTTGACCACCTGGGGTTCTTTAACGTGCACCCAAATCTGAGTACACGGGCCTACAACATTTCCGCCTCCATCGGAAATGCAGCCGCCACAGCCGTGGATGATCCCACGACCTGCGGGTCAACAGCCGAGTACCTTAGCCACTAGACCACCGTGGCGGGGCGAGCAGCTTATTCAAGATGCTAAGTGGGCAGATATATACTACATTCCCTGCTTCACTCAAGATCATTTGTAAACCTCCCCTGTGATATACAGTCGAACTCCGCTACAACGAAACTGACATGGTGAGGAAAACATTTCGTGAGAGCGAGAATTTTGTTGTTGTGAAATAGAAAAAAATATAGCTGATCTGAGCTAGCTAAACAAAGGTACGTTCCTTCTTGAAATTAAAAAGTGTCCACTGCTTCCTATTCTTTACCAGCAGCGTCAGGACGCAATTCAGTCATGCATAGCGAGGCCATGGTGAAAACTGCTGAAGTAACGCCTACAACCGCATTCGTAAACGTACCAAACAGTTGCATTAACACGTTAACACCTGCAGCCGTCCGCCATCAAATGTATTCGACAGTGCCGAGATGGGGGAATGGTATCGTGGAGCGGTGACTTTTGCCTTATTCTATGCCATTCTTGTTGTCCAAACCTTGCGGCTGGCTGATTTGGTTGATAATGCGGACGAACAGCCGCTCTTATTAGGTACCACAGTGGCCAAGCGCGAATAAAAAGATAAGCATTGTAATCCGAAAAGGCATCACTCCGCAGTTGCACGCAGCAGCTGCGGGAAGGACACCATGACTGATCTTCAGCTTTGGATCGTCTGTGGCTTGAAAACAAGCCAGTGGCAAAAGCAGGGCCGTCCTCTATGAGCAGGGCGTTCTCATTGCCATCACTATCGAGCAATGGCGGCACCCATGCTTGCTGAACAGCGGCAGTATCTGGTGGTGCCAACGCGTGTTTTAGACTTCGTCGACGTATTTTCAGGTTCTCAAAATGCATCAAAGTGCTGAAGATTGGGTTTCCTGTATAGAAATAAATATCTGAAATAAATAAAAGGTCGCGTGATCGAATCCCGGTTGCAGCAGCTGCATTTTCGATGGAGGTGAAAATGCCCTAGGCCAGTGTGGTCAGATTTGGGTGCATGTTAAAGAACCCCAGGTGGTCGAAATTTTCGGAGCTCTCCACTACAGCGTCTCTCATAGTCATATGGTAGTTTCGGTACGTTAAACCCCACATATCAGTCAATATCATTCTCTTTACGTCTTTAAAGCACCTAAAAATTGTGGGGTTTGGCTTGTCTGGGATACAAAAAAGTAGGGATTTCAAACCAGGTTCTCTGTATGAAGGAGGGGCGATGGTGACAAAAATCAGCGTGCAGTGCGCTTTGTATCACATTCGCCAATGCGCGAAACTGCTAGCCGCTGTTCCGAGCAATCCTTTGGCATGGGGGGGGGGGGGTCTTACCGGCTTGACTGCGGGCTCTGCTGCCGATACACAAAATGCCCATGCACGGTTCCGAGGAGCCAGCGAGCAATGTGCTTCATTGCTTGCGAAGATGCACGTTGCCACAACTGTGCTAGCGCGTTATTCTTGGCCGCAAAATTCGCGGTTCGCCTCGCTGTCAGCAGAGGTAGGCCTAAGGACGACTTTGATTGTGCGGTGCGTGGTCTACGAACGCGGTGCACCATAGTAATCGGATTGAGCATGCGCTTGCAGCTCCTAACTAAAGCATAATTATATCCTAAGTGATTGTAGAGCCGTGAACATGTCACGAAGGAGCGATTTTCGACAGCTGTGTACTAGGGACGCACAAACAGCTGACGACGATCTCCCAGAGCGAGCATTGGGCCAATGGCGAGGCAAGCGGGGCAACATGGCTTACGCGGGCAATCAGGGACCTCATAACGTTCCTAAAGTATTTGCTTTTTGCACAGTTCTTTCTGATTGGAGGAGCCAACTGAAGCAGGGAATTTGAACGCAGAGAAATGCTCTTTCTGATGAGCACAAGAAGCTGGCTCCCAGCCCAGCCATCGCGAAGCTATAATTTTTTTTTATATTCGCTGTTTTCTTGCAATCTCTAGAATAATATTCGCCACCCAGGTGGCGAAGCAAATTTTTTGAAGCACTTCCTGCTTGATTTTTATTTTGGAATCAGTTTGAAAATGGTTCCATAAACTGAGGACTTGATTTTCAAAGAAAATTATATTTTTGCCATTTTTCACGATCCCAAAGCTGCATCCCCCTTTAAATCTGCCTCTCTGGCATAAAAGCGCTTTCATTGTTGCAGTCACAGACTCTGTTATTTCCAGTGTGATGGCCGTGAAGAGGTTATAGCGTGTGCGTGGGATGGCCAGACATACATTGTCAACGAAGAACGGCAATCGGTGCGTTTCCAGTTTGACGAGGCAGTGTGCACATTCACGGCAGGTGAGTGTCTTTCCTGATCTAGCATATAATTAACCTGCATTGCCTGTTGAGCATAGAGCATGTGAGCTGCATCACATTGAACGCTTACTGTCACTGTATTCAGTTGAACCTTGCTGCAACTAAGTTCACTGAGAAACTGTGTCATACAGTTGAATCTATTCATTAGTGTTCGAGTGGTACAAAAATTTCGTAATGACCAGTGATTGTAACAACTGAATTGCCTGAAAACAAACAAGAGTTGGCATTAAAGAGCTGGTAAAAGTAAAGTAGTCAACTTCGGTTAATTTCACTATGGTTGATTAAGTTTCTTTCATTTTTTTCAAAAAGATCCGAATTGAAAGTTTCGGCCTGTGCTTTTTCATAGCTCCTTTATTTTAGTCCTGTGATTAGGCTTCACCCGATAATCTTAACTTGTTTGGTAATTTTACATAGGCCTGACATAGCTGAACAGAGCAGTATTGGTTCAATAGCAGCACTATTTTTATCTTATCAATAAGTAGATATACCTTCCGTACATGATGTTAAAATTCACTGGTTTCGTTGTTTAATTGTTACCAGAAAAGGAGCCCGGCTACTTTTCTTGCTTAGAAAATCGTTTTGCTTTTGTCGCTCAAGATGGATGGAGTGTACGAGAATTATTTGCTGGATAGGCTTACTTTGCACATTTAATGGGGGACATGGGTTTAGAATGTGCCAAAAATCGCATAAAAATCGACTTTTTGAAGCTGGAATTTTCGGAATCTGTGCCTATTTTTGCACCTATCTGAGAAGTTTCTAGCTTTTCGAGTCATTATTTCTTGTGCAAAATCAATTTATAACATCCCTGTGAGATGAATGCGAGGCAATATTGACGCTAAAATCGCGCTTTTTTCGCGCCGAACTGTTGCCGTTACACACGAGCTATCGTGTTCATCTTGGTCTCGTTTGGAAGGGTCGTTCATCTGCAATTTCCCGCCACCGCTGGCTTGCCTTGCTCATTAGCTTTTTTAGCAAAAACGCGTCATCGGGAAGCCCTAGTGCGCGATTCAATTGGCTGCTTGGGGCACGTGAGAAAACCTAGGCATCCGATTGCCCAAGGGGCGCTTCCGGCGTCTGCTTCAACATTGTGACGCGCACAGACATGCGCCATTTTGCCTGCGGCAGTAAAGAAGTTCCGTGCTACAGTGATTTGTGAAGCAGGTGTGGCGGTCGTTCGTTCGCTGTGAACTTCAGGAAGAGCCCTGCTATGGCTCAGGACAACGAAGATAACGAGCTCGACGCGGTCAATGGCGGTCACAGAGTCACCGGTGTAGGCCTAACTCACGTACGAGCCCGTTGGTTGCTGACAACATTATTGAGAACGGCTGTGTTTTGCAGCCTCATCAGTTAGAGGACGGCAAGTAAAAAGCAGAAGTGAGGCTACAAGAGATGTCAATCTTCGTAGTGACGGAAGAGAAGCGCAGTCTTATCGCTAAGCGCGCCGATGCCGCGGTTCCCCCCGCCTGACGAAAGGACCTTGAACTGCCCGACGGGTCATCAGAGTGGAGTTCGCTGCGCGTCGACGAACAACAGAAAGTCAATCCGTTCGCGGTGAACATGCTCGCCGCCCCCGCAATGGAGGCTACTGGCAACAGGTAGACTGCTTTTAACGACGTGTTCGCAACGTTGTCGCGATTTCCACTCGAAAATGCGGCAGTCTTACGTGAAAAGAAAACTAACACCTCGGCACTCGTGTAGCCTCGAAATTGATGAGCGAGGGAGCAACTTTGGTTCGCGACATTTACGGGTAACTCATTCTGGACAAGCCGGAACACATCGCCGTGTTATTCGACGGATTGCGGATGACGCACGCACATTTGTCGCACATCTCCGTCAGTACAGTCACCGAACTTATAATCGGCCTCGCGGCAGACGAGCACATGGCGACAACTTGCTACAGGACTAGAAGAAAGGACACGCTCGTGCAATGAATCAGTCCTGTTACATTCCCGGTGCATGTTAACTGACTAAAGCATGTGTACCATGATATTTTCCCCTCGGGACGGCGAAATAAAGTTTTAACAGCATTATTCTGGAAGCACAGATTTTGACCACTTTCTTCTGCTTGTTCGGTAAAAGTGGACCTAGGACAGCTAGAGCTGTAATTGTTTTTGCACAATGTAGCTAAATGTGCACAAAAGAATAATGCTGAGAGCTTATTTTTAAAGGGCAGCTTCATTTCTTTATTTTAATATAAAAATTTCTGTATTTGGTTACATGCAGTGAACTTTACTGTGCTGTAATTTGAGAAGTACTCGTTTAATTTTCGATCAGCTTGCAGCGTTTAACTCCATGGCTTTCTAGCATTCATATATATATGTCAATGGCTATGTAATTCTAAGTACATACATTTTTACAGTTAAAATGTTAGAATTCTGTTTTCTTCATTTTCTCAAAATGGCGATTTTGTACACTCTGCATGAAAATTAGTGCAATATATCGGAAACTATTACAGATAGCAGAATATTTTTTTTTTGCAGCCTGAAGGTATAGGTTTGGAGCACACAACATAGGAAGCAGATTTCGGTTTCTTTTGATGCAAGTTTTTAAAGCTAGTGTTTTGTGTGACCACACAATGGCCACATTTAGAGCTTTGAAGTTTAGTGTACTGTAAAGTAAGAAATAATGACCCAATCAAAAAAGTGCTTCCTATGTTGTATGTCTTATGCTTTCTACTTTCAATCCCTATGTCATTTATAAATTTTTAACAGGCAGTTATTTTTCTATTGTGGTAAGAACAATAGAAATTGTTATCTTGATTATTTAATTAACTACAGAAAGCTATAGAAGCTACAGAAAAAATAACTACATTTCTAGAATTGGGAGAACAAATAAGTAAGCATGCCAACTTTTGTCACATTTGGTTCAAAAATAAATGAGAGAGCCCTAAGACCCATGTCCCCCCTTAACCGTGCGCACACATCACTGCATTTAAAGACATCCTTTCGTTTCCACATATAGGGAATGGTGCAAGGTGTCAGAGTTTATAAATTGTGGAAACAGTGCAATGTCATCAGCTGCTTTTGCTTTACTTGCCTCTTAAAAGCTTTGCTGGAGGAATAGTTGTGCAAAATGCCAAACCATAATTCAGCCAGTTTTATCATGAAGCATTGTATGCAATGAATATGTTGTTACTGCAAAGACTCTCATTGTCTCTCGCCACGCACAGGCAATCTCTCGCTGAGTGCTGGTGAGACACAACCCTGCCTCGTGTACGCTACATTCAACAATCGCATCGTGGTCTACTACAATATCACCTTCACAAACATGGCCACGCAGTCGTTGCTCGATGATGTTCAGCTCGTGGCCGCAGTTAATGAACTGGTTCCAGGTATGTGCAACTTGCTTCGTGAGAGCGTGAGTTAAATTCCCATGCATGGAAGCTCATGTACTAAGACTCCGGTAAAAAGTTCCTCAGGTGGTCAGATTAATCTGGAGTCCTTTACTATGGTGTGCTTTGTATATTGTATTATGGGTTCAGCACACAGGGCGCTAGAGTGTTGTAAAGGTTAGCAGTAGGGTTAAGAGCTGGGCTAGTTGGTAAGATATCATTTTAACATATGGTGTAGTAGCGCAACTTCGACGGGGACACGGAGGATAAGAAAACACAACACTCGCTAAACTCGCAACTAATTTTATTTCAGAAGCAGCACTTCATATATAACCCAAATCCCTAGCGACATAGAAAAGAACTACACTCAACCCTCGTGTCACACAGGTCCCGTTAATTAGAGAGGCGATCGCCGGGCTAATTCCAAGAGCCGAAGTATCGGCCCCCCGAACCGCACCACGAAAGCGTGGACAATTTAGAAGTGGTCCTTTTTGGCGCATCAGCGGACGCCGGCTGTGGCCCAAAGAACAAGTCAGAGCCGAGAGTTGATAAACAAAACAAAAATTATATTCTCAAAAATGGCAGATCGAAAACAATACACAAGAATGCACACTCCAGAATAGTCGCATACAATATGTCACACACCAAACAACGTACTACACAGTACAATCAGCCACACTCGAAACAACGGACACAGACAACAATACACACTACAATGCAGTCGCATGCATTGAATAACCAAGACACTTAAAGACTGAATGATACTCTTCCGAGAATCACTCACTCAAAGTCCAGCGTTGTTGTCGTTCCGCTGCCCCCTGAAGTTTCTCTTCCAGGAAACCTCGCCGAAGTTTCTCTTCCAGGAAACCTCGCGTTTTCAAATGGCCACTCTCCAAGCTTCGAACTTCTTCTCCGGAAACACGCCGGCTTCACACTCGCAGCTGTTGCCACGCGTCTTCGCTCGATAGCGGTAAACACACGCTCTTGCCTGTAGCTCGAGCCTTCACCCATCAGGTGGAAATCCTCTTCTTCTCCTGCTTTGTCGCTACCGACAAAATCTTCGCCGACTACACGGCGGAATCCCTACGCGCCCTGGCGCTAACTTTCGTCTTCTCGTGCTCTCTCGTCTCGGCCGCTCGATTAAATACCTTCCGCGCGAGATTCCAGAAGGTTCTCGTCATTTCGTCGGCGCGATACGCAGCGAAGGCTGGGGAGAGGGCGAGACGGTTCGAATGCCCTCCGCGTCGGATGACTCAACTCGGCATGACCACGCCTCTTTCGTTCTAGAAATTTCGAGAGCTTGCTCGGCCACCGATGCGGGGTGAGAAGGTTCGTCGGCGAAGCCACGCTTCCGAGGGTAGAGCGCGCGCCGGGGAGCCTTGGATGTTTGTTTTCTTTTTTTTTTTCTTTTGACCTCCCGGCGTCTCTCCCGTGCGTTATCGCAAGAATTTGGCGGCGCGCCCATTTTTAGCGCTCGTTCTGTGACACCTCGTTATAACGTAACGGGATATAACGAAATAATGGATATAACAAAGTAAATGAAATTCCCCTTAGACTCGTTTAGACACGTTTATATGATACAGTCGCCGACCGATTTTTCGGACTCCAGAAATTCAGACTTGTTGGATATTTTGGACTTCAAAAGTGCGCCGTCAGGGTTTTCCTAGGGCTAACGCATTTTTTCGTCTGATTTTTCGGACGAATTCGCCCCCTAAAGTTTGCTTTTTGGAACTAAATCGCTTGTTTTGAGCCGCGCCACGAACCTGTGTGGATGCCGCCATGTTGGATTCTCTGCCGGCTTGACTAAGCTTAGTGGCTTAATTTTAAGATGGCTTTCCTGCCTCCAAGATTGTAAAGTAAACGTTTATATTTCAAGTTTCGGAGACTCTGCTTCAGAAAACGCAGCACGGGACCATTTTCTAGTCATCGGTCAGCCGTAGTGGTCAGCACTGTCGTCATCGCACCATACAGGGAGGAGGCGGAGCTGCGCAGTAGTGGAGTGAATGTGCCTGCCACAATGACATTAGGGAGTTTTAAAATAGCGCACCTCGAGCCCTTGCGGTGCGGTCGCTGCCACTGCACATGCTTCGCAACGCGAGTCGCCGTTCGCGGCCTGCCCGCAGAAAATTCGAAATAGCGTGCGGCAATCGCGGCCTGCGAGGGAACGCGAAGTGTTGTGTGTAGTTTGCGGTCGGGGCAAACGTCTCTAGACCTTTCCCTAGGGGGAGCAAACGCTATTATAGAACTCGTAACGCGTCCGCTATACCCGCAGCACCTGCAAATGTTATTCTAAAACTCCCTATTTAAAGACTTCGCTCGTGCAGACGATGACAATTTCGTGCGCGGAGCCCACAGACGAAGAAATTCTTTGCCAGGTTGTGCCGCAGCTGGAGAGCGGTTCGGATGATGATTACGATCGCCCGCAGCTGTCGGCAGCGGAGATCGCCACTGCGGACGATGTCATCTTGGCGCAAATACGGGTGAACCAAATTGCTGCCAAGCATAGTATGAGGCAAGGCAGAATCAAAAACTTTTTAAAGCCTGCCTGATGCAATAAAAGTTTATATTTCTGACAAAAATGGATTTTTCGGACAGTTCAATTTTTCGGACTTTTTTGTTCCTACCAGGTCCGAAAAAGCGGTCGGCGACTGTATAACGAAAACCGCGCTGAGTACAGTAAAATCTCGGTAGAACAAACACCACATTCACGAAATTTTTAAAAAATCCCGCGCCGACTACTAATAGTTTCAATGTAAAATTATTTCACTACTATGTACTTCAGAATACCGAACTTTTCAAAATAACGAGTGCTAATTTAGTTTCGCGTTACACTAACAACACCTCACGAACTTGTTCTAAAATCTATCGCGACCACTGGAGCGGTACGCAAGCAGAGGACACAGCGAACGGACGCCTTGTGTAATGAAAATTTATTCCATTTCGGGGCTAAGGTTCGTCACTCTTGTTTTCCGTGCCGTGTTAGGAGAAATGGACTTTGAGAGGACGCGGTAACAACACACACTACGTTTATGACAGAGCACGAAGGAAAAACATAGAACACAGAACCAGAAAAACCGTGAAGCCGAATAAGTAACAAAACTGTCTGATCGAACGATAAAACAAATGAATGCGAGTTCAAGGCGCAGAGTTCCAAAACCTCACAATGAGATGCAGGCCCCAACGAACGCCGAGGTGCAGGGCAGGAGGCGGTGACAGGCGATCGGGAGCGGGTTGCGTCTCGATGTGCGATGCTATGGTGACGGTGACACTTGGCGGAGTGGGGGCGTGGGTACGACTACGAAGCAGTCAACCCGCATTGGAGACTCGATGCTCCATGCGTGTAAATGGCCAGCCCGTCGAGCGACCAGCTTGCGTCGAGACGCGATGCTCGGCGCAACCGTGACCATTAGCCAGGCCACGTACGTTGCTGGGCTGAACGTCTGACCACGGAGACGCCTCGCCGAGATCCGCGATGCCCTCGGCAAAAAAGAGAACAGCAGGCCAGGCCGCGCCCCGAGATGCAGTACTCGTGCCGGCGATGCCGCCCCAGCTGGTGGTTGGACGGCAGCAGCTTGGACGGCCGCGTTCCCTGGCCGGAACCTGGATCGCCTGCGTCCGACATTCGGCCCGCTGTCTTCTGTCTGCCGCTGCTTCCGCTCGACCCCAGCCACAAAGCCAACCGCCACGTAATGGTCACTCATGGCCCAATCGTGGCACGCCACCTCTATGGGCCACCACAGGTCGTCAGCTGATTGGCTGACCTCACGCGTACAGTTAGCTCGAAATCGCACGCGCCTTGCCCCGCACTTCCGTCGTTGTCATCGTTTTCTTCACTCATCACACCTTGCTTCTTGGAAGATGCATGACGATGTGAAGTATGAAAAAAAAAAAAACGAAAGAACAATTTTTTTTCGTTTTTATATTATATATATTGTGCGGTTCTAGCAAATAAATCTTGTTGTAAGTCAGTGCCACTGTCTGTCTCCTTCTTTCTCTTGTCCCTCGTTATTGGCGCTGTTTTTTTAAGTGAATTTTCTTTCAATTTTTGTTAGAACGCCAACGCTGCATGTTTACAAGTGCAGGGGCGTGGGCAACACGGGAGGGCAAGGTCAGCGAGGCAGAGTGGGGGTTATGGAGCAGGAAGCATGGGCGCGGAAAACCTGAGACACCGAGGGAGCAGAAAATAAAACGCGAGGAATTTTCTTTCTTGGCTCTTTCTTTTCTTCGGAAGAGGCGATGACAGCCGCGACGCTTCGGCTTTTATTTTTGCCACTTCTACATGTGCTCTAGGAGGCCTTGTCAGTCGTGTCTATCTCTTTTCGGTGATTATCGTGTCCGCAAAGCAAGTTGGCGTTCACGCTTCGATGCCACTACAATAAGTTCATCTCTGCTTGCGACGAATAAGCGGAAGCAGTTTTTGCTAACCGAGGAAGTGGATATTTTTCGGCAACTGGAAGGCAAAAAGCACGCTGTTGTGGCCAAATACTTTGGAGTGCACGCATCAAAAAAAGATAGAGCGAAAAATCACAGACTTCTTTAAGTAAACTTGCATTTTTTAATGTTCACTTATGCATTCGTTTTTCCTCCTGAAAAATGAGTTCATGGACCTGCCGTTGTAAAGGTAAGTAGTTTTGATCGGTGGAAAATAAGTATTTATCATGAATTTTTGGGCTTTCACTATAAGGACCTTTCAAAATAATGAACAAATTACTACGATCCCCTGAAGTTCGATATACCGAGAGTTTACCGTATCATTAAAAACATTGGCGTTGATTTACACGTGCCTGAAATGGTTTTAAATAAAAAGAAAAGAAAGATACCCATGTACATATGAACATAAAGCGATAGCATACGTCAGTTATGCTTAGACACTTTTGGATGATATAAGAAATAACAGTGCTGGGTGGGGGGTAATTATCAGACAAAAAAGAATGGTGTGAATTTATGCGCGCCTTAATCAGAATTTGAAACACCATGAAAGACAATATGACATGTTTTAAACACTAACTTCTATTAAATTTCTTCGAGGAAGCTGGCTTCTCGGTTACTTGACACTGATGACTGACTAATGCAGCCATCTTTTCTTTTATTAATGTGGAAGGTTCGACAATTTCTCTAGTTAGAGTTGGTTCCCATGACGGAAGGCTACGGTTGTATCACTGAACAGTGGCGAGCAGCTACACTGGGAACAGTATGGCTTTATGTGAGAATAAATGTTGGTTGCCAATAATCGCTTATGTTCTAAATATATGATGTTATATGTCGTGTATGAAGTGTTATATACATCATATATGAAATGTTATATATAATATATATAAGTTATGTTATATATCATATATGAAGGGTTAGATATGAAGTGTTGCTTCTGAATTAAAATTAGTTGCGAGTGTAGCGAGTGTCGTGTTTTCTTATCCTCTGTGTCCCCGTCGAAGTTGCGCTGCTACACCATATGTTAAAATGGTAAAGGTTAGCAGCTCACTGGCTTCTCTGCATGCTATAAACTCTGAAGCCTTGAATGCTTGGCCAAGTCCTCGACTGTAGCCTTTCCATAGCCTCAACTTCTACTGTTACAAAAACTGAACGAACCTCTCTTTCTGCATCTTAGCTATGATAATTCATGAGGAAGTTCAAATCAGCATCACTGAAACAGACACAAGTCAAAGCTTCGAGATCACAACACTGAATTTAAATTACCGTAAAAGCGCCCGTCAAAAATTTTTGTGCCCCCCCCCACCCCCACAAACACAAAAAAAGCGCAGTGCGCATGGATTAAAGTTTTATTACAGAGAACTTTATTTAGGCCCGGGATTTGTTGTAGCTCTTAATAGTTTCCGTCGCAGTCTTTGGCACCACAGCTTGAACATCAGCCTGTCCTCTGTGCAGGTCGCCGCTCTCTAAGCCACTGAGCGCATTACTAACTAATGCCGCATCCCTTAAAGGACCAAGCCACTGTCTTCTGAGGTACAGTCAGTGGCCCACGCCTTGGCAACAAAATTGAGCACATGTTGCCGCGACAGTTTCTTCAAGTTTCCTTTGGTGTTCGTGCTTCTTCGTGCTTATACTGCTCCCACAAATGCTGCAAGGTGGACTTGAACGGCTTATTCCAATGACGTCAGCAGGCTGCGGATGCTTGTGCACTCCGCAGGCACGTAAAGCAAGTCGGTGTCGTACTCCTCGAAGGCATTTCCGGTGGCTTGTCTTGTGGATGGGCACCTGGTTCAACACTAGTAAGCCTTTCACATTGTAGACGTTTGGCCTCGACTCTCTACAGCCGTTCTTGCATTTTCTTTCATGTTATCCAGCCATTCTCCGTGGCAGTGAGATGAACATTTGCTACGAATGAGAAAAAAAAGTCAGCCTTGTGATAGAACGAACTGGGCGACAATTTGACCCCTCGCCCCCATCGAAGAAATAAAATTATTCTCACCTAGTATACGAAGGCTCGCAAAGGCCCTGGCTGGAATTCTTCTGCTTTGCTCCTTGAAGATAATGAATGCCAGGAGCTTGTGACCAGTGGCGCAAGCAGCCAGGCAAGTTGTGAAGCCTCGCCGGGTGCATCCAGTGGTCACAATCCGTATGGTGCTTTCACCCACCACATTGTTGGTTTTGTTGGCGGGGTTGTCGATTTACACCATCGTCTGATCCATGTTGGCCATGTTATATAAGGTGTAGCCATTGCGCCATCGCAGCGAGTTCGTGGAAGATCGAAAGGCACTTGCTGCCTCCGAAAGTTTCTTGGGCGTCTTCTGGCTCTTATACCTAGCGTGGCGCATTGCAACGCCGAACCACTGTTTCTGGCGATTTATGTAATGGCTGAAGGCTATGACTGTCCCAACTAAATGCTGTTGGCGAATTTGACGGTCTCTTCGGAATTAATCCGGTTGCTGACGGTATGTCCTGCACTTCTTTCGTGCTCAACGTACTCGCAGAGCGCATCATCCTTGGTTTGCTGAACACGAACACTGGTGCACGGTTACTGAACTTACATGAAAGTTTTGCTTTCCCGTAGTTTAGTTGCAGCAGATTATCGAAATTCTTCTATTTCCATATCCGCTTCCGGTAGAGCTTGAAATGACTATACGTCTGGTGCACGCTCTTTCAATTTTCTCGGTGCCATTGAATAACCTCCATTTTCTTAACCACTGTGTAGGAATGCATAAGCACATGTGACCTCTCACCACAAACACAAAGCAACAAACGGCGCAGAGCAATCGGGCTGCAGTGGAAAGCAGAGTTAGATTGGATTGTATTGAATTCGGGGGAGGGGGGGTGCTTTCCCGGATAGGTGCGAATGTTTTAAATTGCCCGCGAAGTTTGGGGGGGGGGGGGGGGCAGTTGCTTAGAATTTTATGGCAGTTCTTTTTTTTTTTGCACTACTTTACAATGAGAAAGTGCTTCAGTACAATGCTTGGGTTGAATATGCTCTCACAGGCTGTACCTCTAGGTCATAGCTGGCATGTGCCTGCTTTAGGTCAAATGAGTGTGTGGTGTCACTCGTCTTCAAAACATTGCTTACGAGTGCACGGTGCAATAGTTCCTGAAAACTTGGGCTGCAGTAGAGTGGCTAGACCTACCAGACGCATCTGCATGTGGCTCATTTCAAGAAATAAAGTGAAAGCTTTGGCCTGAACATTTATGCAGATGTGGACCCTCGTAAATTTCTCCAGTGGTGTCTGTATGGATCTCGGCCTCTGCTGGGGGATCAAGGTATGGCTTTGCTGTTTAGGTTAGGATTAATGTCAGAACAGGCCATTTATACAAATTCTTGTAATAGCATTCTTATAAAAATGTGTTCTGCTTGACAAATGACTGCATATCCTTTGTTTGAAGCCGATCTTTATGCAGTTTTGCTTGTGCACTAGACTCAGTAAATGGAAATATTCTAAAAGAACCTCCCCATAAACAGAAGACATTTTGCTGGGCCCTTTAGTTTACGTTCAGTGGGAGTCTACTGTACATAAATATTTAGGGGCAGCCACATTTCAGTGGGACAAAATGCAGAAAAATCTGCAGAAATGCAGAAACACTCTGGGTTCTTCATGCTTGAAATGAAAAGGTTGCGCAAAAAAAAAAAAAAGGTCGCAAGCAAGGGTACAGGACAAGCGCAAACTTGCATTGCTTTATTCGTGGGTAGGACTACTGAACAGATAGGAAACAGAAACACCAAGATTATGGGTGCATGCACTAAGAAGCGTGTGAATTTGCCTTTTTTGTGCTACCTTTTAATTTCGAGAGTTTCGAACATACTAGGCAAAGAACGAGTTTTACCAGAGTTTTTCACTACTGTGTGCCCCATAATACAATCAACAGGCTGGTTAAGAGAAACCTGAAGCGACCTGGGAAGTATGTTTCATTTAACAGGAGTATGATTTACTGAGCCAAGAACTGGGGTGCTGTGTACAAGTACTGAACCAATCAAATCGGAGACAGTTGTTCCACATACGTAGCCATTTCATTTAATGGATTTCAGTGTGCGGAGACGTACTGTGTGCTATATAGTTCTGGCATGAAAACTCGAGAATTGTTTCGCTCTCTCTTTAGCTTCATCTGATGCTTCAGAGCATCCCAAGGAAGGCACCGACCCAGGTGGAGCAACAGAAGTGGTGTAATGAGCCTACAGGTCCGACGGTTATCCTGAGATGCACCGGTCACGGCACTGTGAGCTTTGGGTGTTTCGTTTCAACATTGATAGCATCTCTGCCACCTTAAAATAGTTGCTTTAGGGGCGCATTGTTAAAGGGAAACTAAAGGCAACTAAAGGGACAATAAAGGCAACTGTTAAGTTTACGTTGATTATTGAAATAGCGGTCCATAAACCTCGTAGTGTGATGTTTGTGTCAAGGAAGGCCTATTTTGAAATAAAATCACGTTTTAGTGGTTCGCATTTGGTTGGCACATTTCAAGTTACCCTCCTCGAGAAGCGGACCGACCGGATTGACCCACGTCACTGAGTTTCATCGATTTACACGTCCCGGACGGCTCCGGACGGCTCCGGACGGCCCCAGAGGCCGGCGCTGCATTAGTTTTTCTCGGGGACCAACTGGAAGTTCCGCCCACTGGTCCGGGATCACTCGTACGCTTGCTGGTTTTTCGCGTGCCTGGCGGCCTGCAAGCGGCCCGGGGCCGTCCCAACAATTTCTTTCGGACAGCTGGCAGACGACAGCGCGGTGCGCATGCTGTGCGGCCATCTTAAGTTAGACACGGGAAATTTTTGATGTGCTACTCTCTCTTTGCTTTTCTGTCCGCTTCTCGCATGCTTCTGGATTTCGCATTGTTTGCGCAGCCAATTCTTGTCATCAGTGGTGTTCTGGGCCACGTCGAGCATGTGAGTATTCCCGAAGGTCGGGCAAACACGCGTTATACTTGCTAGGAGAAACAGCGGTAGAACGACCGCACCGGTCTACGATGCGCACGCGTTGAGTAGTTCACTAACAGTAAGTTGCATCACAACAGAAATAGGTTTAATTCACCACCTAACTGCTGTTTAGGTTGCAAATGAGTCAGCGTTATGGCCTGTGTTTCAGCTATGGAGGGAGCAGACGGCATAGCCAGGCATAGCAGACGCCACAGCGGATGCAGTCAGCATCAAGCGCGCAGATGGCCCGAGGCCGCTCGGGCTGGCTCGGGATTTTTAGATCACGTGCATGTGACGTAGCCACCTGTGAGCCAAGGCGCGTCCGCGGGCCGTCCGCGAGGGATCCGGGACTTGGTAAATCGATGAAGCTCACTGTTGCCGTGCACAACGTTGCCCGGCTTTACTGCGCTAGTAGCAGCAGACCGAAAGCAGCGGGAGCCACAGCAGCAATAACGACCATTGATCAATTTCCCGCTATTGGCTTCCAGATTGCAGACGTTTTTTGGTTCAATTGCGTCCCGCTAGATGGCGTCACCTGTCTTGTGTAGCTTCGCAAAAATTGAATGATTGAACAACTTGCGCCATTCTCCATAGTAATGTCTGGCAGTTCTTTTTTTCATGAATCAAACAGAAACGAACAAGCAGCATTTTATTGCGTCTCTTGATGCACGGAAAGTTCTTTTAGTGCAGCTAGATTGATTATAGTGATTAATTGTAGGCGGTACGTCTGATGTCATCGGCATCATTTTGAGAATGTCCTACTGCGGCGCATGTGTTCTTGTGCATTTACTTTAATTTCTCGGTGAGTAGGGCACTGTTGTTGATATTATTGTCGTGTTCGATGTTGTCGTACATTGAGCTTTCACTCCGACGTAAATTGTTATTTGACTTTAGTGTCCCTTTAAGGGGCAATGCTACTCGAAAAAGGTTTTATTATTTCTTGACCCAGATCATTGAAATTTTAGGTGTTAGTAAAGTTTGCAGTGCTGATTTCATAACCGAGTGAGTGAAATAACTTTATTAGGGCCACAATATACGCGAGTTAACTCGGCGTCACCTGGCTAGGCCCCCACGAGGTTGGTCAGGTTGAACCTGACTGCCCTCGCGGGGGCCCTCTGGATGGCCAGGATTTGAGAGACGAGGTCCTGGGCTTAATTAGCTTGCTCAGTTCCTTTTGTTGGAAGAGGGGACTGGCAAAGGCACAGCCCTACAGGACATGCTCGAAGTCCGCATAACTGCCATACAAAGGCCAATGCGGGCTTGAGAATCGTTCGCGGTATATTGTGTTGAGTGCTGCAGGGTTCGGGTAGGTTCTTGTTTTGATTACTCTGATAGTAACAGCTTGGGCCCTGCACAGCGAGGAGTGTGGCAGGGGCAGCACTCTTCTTGAGAGGTAATGGTGCTTGCATATCTCGTACGTGCAGAGAGGCTCTGATCGCCCAGGAGATGACGCCTTACTTCGCACACGGTCAGTCAAACCTCATGTAATCGAATGCGCCTTATCGTTCAGATTGATTTCATAACTGTAATTATTTTTAGACCTGCGCAACTGTCTGCAGTCCAGCGCCCTCGTGAGTGCTGGTCACAACTGGTAGACGTGTCGGCACTAGTGACGGTTCGTCGCGCCGACGGCAACGTTGATGTTGCGGGGCCGGTACTGAGGTGAAGTTGAGCCAGACAGTGCAGCAGTGTCGACCGGTGGGAGTGTCGTGGTTCAAGGACATTATGGACATGTGATGTCATTTTTTGTTAAAGCTTGTGTAGCTTATCTTTTTGTTTTCGGGATATGGTTTGATTTAAGGTTGGGGGAATGTGGGGGTGCTGACACCCCCTGTAAAGTTGTTTGCTCCACGTTGGGCGCCAAGTGTGGAGTCTCAACGAGGCGAACGAGCGCCACGCTGCACTCTTGGAGTGAAAGGACACTGTTGACGCGGTCGGTACAAACCAACAACATACATACATTTATTTAACTTATTGAAGACGATATCATCCGTTGAATGATACATCAATTGTAATTAACACACTGACATCCTTACACAATAACATGACAAACACACAACAAAACAAACACAATAACACACCAAAGGGGGCGTCGCCAACGCTTCACCCACCACGTGGGCCTACCGCAGGCAGCCCGCGGTGCCGTACACGGCAGACCCACCGCGAGAGACAACCTTTCGCAGCTACCGGCACACGCAGAAAAGGCTCACTCAATTATCGCCCGCCAATAAGGCTTGCTTTCCGCCAGGGGTCACTACTTGCGCTACCACTCTATCAACAGTGGTACTCAACGTGAACAATACGCCATCTATCTCCCGGCGGTTGTCACCCCCGAAATGCGGCTTTTCGCTGAGACACCTGCACCACACGGCGCAAACAACTTTACAGGGGGTGTCAGCACCCCCAAAAGGTATGGAACAAAAATATGTAATTTATATTGCAACCTTAAGTAGATACTCGTATTTTAGAGTGGCTGAAGATCTGTGCAAAATTTCATTGAGATTGGACTATTTTATGTGTAAAAAAATTTGTGCACAAGATGCGAGATTTACCTCAAAATGGAAATTGAGAAAAATACGTTTGAAAGTTATAATTATGTTTACTCATGATTATACAGTGCGATTTGCACGAAACTTTGCGAGAGTATAGAAGTGACAAAGCTAGAGCACTTAATATTGTCCTGCTTCATATGTACTTACTTCTCGCCATTTGAGAAGGGAAGCATTGAGGCGTGCTTTCTTCGTCATATTGCAATGATGAGCCTTTGCCTCGTCTGTTTCACACGCAGACATTCTTTGGTTTCTACTCTGGTCGCGGGATTGCCCAGGGTGATCAGTTGATTTGGTGGCACTACACTAAGCCCTTCTAGCGCGTGCTCGAAGATTGAATGTCCTTTATTAAACCACAGCACGGTCACTGCAGCTGTAGTTTCCACTGTTGTCCGGGAGGCAAAGTTCGTCTTCGGACACAACAGCCAGATTTTGCTTTCGAAGATTCTGCAACGTTCTGGGTCTTTCCTTGAAGACAGTGTACAGTAAAAGCTTGTAAATTCAAATTTCGTAGGGATGCCCAATGAGTTCGAATTAAACCGAATTCAAACTAACGAAATTCATTGTAAAAAGAGCAAGAATAGAGACCGGGTTGTTTCAAAATCACTCAAAATATTCATATTCATTTGCGAAAATAATCTGATTACTTTCTGCTTTCTTTCTTTGAAAGTGATTGCCATAGTTTTGTTTTCTAATGTGCAAACGTGGTGGAAAGCATCCTCTTCATCTTCCTCGAAGCTTAAGAGGCGCACGACACGCATAGCCTCCATTACCTCTGAAGCTGTGGGCTGTGTCAATGCCTCATTATCATTGTCCTTACCCACGTTGATGCCGAGTGCTTCTCCCCCAGTCACTTTTGCGATATTGTCGTCGATGAAAGTGCCGCAGAGACCACTGCACTGCGATCTGCATCGACCAGATGCAGATCGCAGTCGATGCAGATCGACCGATCTGCATCGACCAATTCCAGGTCAACCATGTACGCTGAGCAGTTGTCGACTACCAAGAGCACTCTTCTGCTAGCTAATTAAAATTTGCGGTCGAGCTTTATCAGCCACTGTTTGAATATTTCCCGCGTCATCCATGCCTTGCTGTATACTCTGCTGGTACTGTGCGGATGGTCTTGAAGCAACGAGGTTTCAGGGCCTTCCCTATGATCAGCAGCGGTAGTTTTTGGTCCTGGTCATGTTTGCTGCGACCGAGACAGTAAGGCGCTCTTTGCTCCTCTTCCTGCCAGCACAGGTGTCGCCGTTGTAGGTCAACGTCTTACTTGGCAGCAGCTTATAAAATAACGCCGTTTCATCGGCGTTAAACATATCGCGTGGCGAATACTTTTGAAGGAGTTCTTGCAAAGCATGGCTTTCCCACTTTGCGCATATATCTCGCTGTTCACTTCTTTGCCTTTGCCACACTGTAAACCAAATTACACCCATATTGGTGTAATATGCTGTGTATAACTCACGCCCCTACACCCCACGAAATGAGTGTAACAAGCAGGACTACACCTATATATTGAGTGTATTGCCGAATTTGCCGATGAGAAGGTCTAGAAAATTGCTAACAGCCTCTCGGCGCCGCCTTTGTGGCTGCAACCGGCTGTGCGTGGGAGTTGAGCGATCGGGCTCTCGATCTTCAAATCTACAAGCCTGCGCTGCACCACCTGAAACCTCCACAAAGGGACGCTTTTCGACCCAACGTAATGTGGGAGGTGACACTCGCAGAAACGTATCCTGTGATAACGTAGCGAGCCGATCACGACAGCTAGAGGCTGCTCAGTTTGAGAGAATCGACCGTGATGATGTGCGCTGTTACCGCCGCCGTGAGCGAGGGCACATGGCAAGGGGGTGCACCAGATCCAGGCCTCTTGCGAGGCAGGGAAACTGGTTTGTGGGTCGTTCGCGAATGCACGAGTGACCAAACCTTTGGTTCTTCCCACTGCGTGCAGGGCAAGCACTTTTCTTGCCGATATGCACATGCCGT